ATTAAAAGAGAAAAGCATGATATTTCATATAAATTGGTAACTCTACCAGTTCAATGGTCATTAGGAGGCTTATATATACAAAATGATATAAATAATCATTTTCAAGCTTTGTATATTTCTTTTTGAAATAGTCATGATGGATAAATCTTAGATAGCTCTAAGAAACCATGTGACCCAATAACGTATCATCATTATTATTCAGATCAAGTATATTATCATATAGGAAAAACAGTTCATAAATTTTAGCTCTTGGCTATAGATTTTAAGATGTATGTCCATTTTCAATTATCCAGAAAAATTTGGAAAGAAGTTGCACAAAATATAAATACACAAATAATTCTTGCACTTTAATTCATGTACTCCTTTTCTACCCCTTCATATCAATCTCTCAAAGAACTATTAAGAGGAAATGTTTTCAGATTACTTTTTATTCAATATTATTTTATCTACCTCCCTCCTACAAGAGTGTTTCAAAGAGTGAAATGACTTAAATGTAGGAAGAGAAAAAACACAAAAAACAAAAAGGAGAGGAAGCCAATCCTTAATAAAAAACATTAAGCACATCTTTAATAGCCAAACATCTTGCCACGATTTTCTCCAGACAATATCCTCCCCAGATTTCTTGGTTTCGCACCCCAAAGACTCTGCTCTCTCACAACACAGCTTATTTATTCATCAACTAAAACCCTGTAGAGATAGACTCCAGACTCCATAGACTCCAGACTCATCAACCTACCCCTACTTTGTCTCAGTTCTTTAAAGTTCTTGAGATCACTGTGACCAATGTGATCTCTCAGACTTCCAGTGAAAGGAACTCTATTCACATTCTGCTCAACAAGGAAAACTAGAAGTTAGCAAGCAAGGATATTACTCTTTAAAAGTGAATTGAGGGGAAGAAATAGAGAAGAGTGCAAATACGTATAATTTATTAACTTCTCTTATATTTCTGCTCATTTCACTTTAAATTTCCCTAATAGAAAAAGGCATATAAATATGAGAAATTCATCCATCCAACAAATATTAATGAAGCACCTAGTTTCTATCAGTCACCCTTCTAGACACCAGAGATCCAGCAGTGAAGAACACAACAGAAAAAGCAATTATATAATATGCTAAGTGGTAAAAAGTGCTATGAGAATAATAAAACCAGGTAAAGGTAGAGAGGGCTATTGGACAAGAGGCTGCTAGTATATCTCGTATATAGGGAGGGCAAGAAGGTCTCACTGATACAGTGACAGTCAAGTAGACATGATGGGATTGAGGCATAAAAATATTGGGGATTTTAACATTCCAAGCAAAGTGTAAAGCTACAAAAATCCTAAACTAAAATCATAGTTGATTTGTTTAAAGAGAAATAAGGAAGCCAGCATGGATAGACTAGGAAGCATGTTGGATGCTGAGGTCAGAGTTAACAGGGTAGGCGCTGGGGCTAGAGCCGGTTGGGTCTTGCATATCATTGAAAGGACAGAGGCTTTTGAGAGAGATGGGAACCCACTTCTGGGGAGAGAATAGACTTCAAGAGATCAGGAGTGGAAGGAGACTAGTGGAATCATCCAGGAGAAAAAGTTGTGTGATAGTAGCAGAGGAGGCAGTAAGACATGATCAGTTTGATAGATCTTTAAGAAAGATTTGTTGACAGACTGAGTGTGTTTGTAAGAGAAAAAGGATTTGAGAAAGACTAAGGTTTGGGACTTGAGCAAAAGAAATAATTGCTGTTTTATAATGGCATGGAGAAGACTGGATCACAATGACACAGTGCTTTTATTTTCTGTTTAAAAATGCTTTTAAAATCTTAGATCTAAAAATTGACCTTTCATATGACCCTCAATCCCCCTTCTGGGAATATATCCAACAGAACGTAAATCATTCTTTGAAAAATACACGTGCACATTCATGTTTATTGTAGCACTATTCACAATAGCAAAAATATGGAACCAGCTGTGCTGCCCATTGAAAGTGGACTGGATTAAAAAAAAATGGTACATATACATGATGGAATATTACGCAGTCATAAAGAAGAACAAAACTATGGACTTTGCAGCAACTTTGATGGATTTAAAGCCTATCATACTCGGTGATCTATCACATAAACAAAGTACTGAGTACCACATGTTCTCACTCATACATGTATCATAATACTATAAGAAAGGGATTGGCAGTAGTGGGACACTGCCAGGGCAGGGGGAGCACATAAAAACAATAAGGGTACCTGATCTCAAACCAGGCAAAGTGGGGACCAAAGGGAGGCCCAGACTTCAAACTTCACCTGTACAATGACCACTTACGCACCTAATCCTGAATTATACCCATCATCTTTAAAATAAAATCTTTTTTTTTTTTTTTGAGTTGGAGTCTCACTCTGTCGCCCAGACTGGAATGCAGTGGCACGCTCCCGGCCACCGCAGCCTTGACCTGCTGGGCTCCGGCGATCCTTCCGCCTCGGCCTTCCGAGTAGCCGGAATTACAGGCACGCGCTACCACACCCGGCTGATTTTTTTAAATTTATTGTAGAGATGAGGTCTTACCAAGTTGCCCAGGCAGGTCTCGAACTCGCGGGCTCAGGCAATCCACTCACCTCAGTCTCCCAAAGCACGGGATTACAGGCTGAGCCACCGAACCCAGCTTAAAATAAAAATTTTAAAAAGTAAAATAAAATTTAAAAAATACTTCTAAAATCTTGTCTGTACAAGTGGGTGAAAGACTTGTTTTCCCAGACTGGATTTTAATAACTACCATGTAGAACGACCAACTTCTGTGATTAACACAATTTTTCTTCTCATAAGTGTTTTCCTTCTGTCTGCTTCAGATCCTGGGTCAATTAGTAGGGAAATGAAAGCAGAAAGACTCAAGCTTTAACAGGTGCTGTGGAGGGGGAATAAATCAGAGAACATTCTTAAATAAGGGTAAAAACATATAAAAATCTATTTCAGTCAATAAAAATTAACTTCTTATTTTCTAAAATAAAAAAAAAAAAAAAGAAAGGGCACCTAGACTAAAGATGATTATTGGGAGGTAGATCAGGAAGGGGTTAGGGAAGCATGGGTCTACACAGCACACAAGAAAAGACTTTTTTTGCTTTTGGAATAAAGGAGGAACTCAGCTTTTCCCTAGATTATTCCAGCAGTGTCCTATCTACTCTTGACCTCCCAAAGTCTATTCTAGTATCTAAGGAAAATTGAAATCTTAATCCTAGATTACAATTTAAGTTACATATATGTTTGGATGTATATTAAATGAATGCCAAATTCAAATTATCATTCCACCAGAGAATGGCACAATACTTCCTACCAAGTCATTCCTCATACTCTGTTTCATTTTTTCATATAAATAGGGTTTGCTGCAAACAGAAGCTTTAAAAAGTAAGGTTTTTTAAAGGTCATCTAAAAAAGATAGGCTGTGTCCCGGTAGCCTAATGGGACAGGCATTGGACTCCTAAAAAAGATAAACTGTTACAAATAATACGCACATAAGATATGTATATTTACATTTTTCCTTACATGGCTTAATAACAGTAAAATTACCCAGTAGCATGAATAGGAAGTGCTCCATTACTGTCTTTTCAGTTTAAAAACTTAAAAAGGAACTATAAAGCCCACACTGTTGGAGTGGCCACTCTCTCTCTGCAGGGTGTTGTCCATTAAAGCACAAAGCAAGAGACAACAGCAGTTTCTCTCTGTTTTTCAACACAGACCTCTCAAGCTCATCATCTTCCAATTCTAACAGTATTTCTCCCTCCAATTACGAGCGTCCCCCATACGGATTCTTTCCAACATCCCTAACCATTTGAAGATGGAATGAGAAGTGACAGAAGCTATTTTAGAAGAAAACAGAACTTACAACTTCACTGCTAAAGGCAGCAAACTCTTCTCTCTTGTCACATTACTTAAAAAAAAAAAAACTTCATATTTAGAATATGATGGCAAACTTTGGAAAGATCACATGAAACCTGAACTTGATGCAAGAGTGGAATGCCTGCAGAGGAATTCAGGTTTCTGCTTGGATGGTGGACAGAGAGGGACAGTCATGGACTGGGCTGTTCAATATTCCAGCAACTACTAGAACTTGGGAACAGAGCCAGTCACGACTCCGAGCTGCAGAAGGGACCTCCACTCTCCTGACGCCACACTCAATGTATACCCTGGAGGCTGGAGGAAGGAGAGAGAAACCACAAGAGTCTTGCTGACTATGAGGACTGCTTGTGCTAAATTTTAATCTTGTTTAGCAGTGTAGACCTTCTTCAGGAAGGTTTACATCCACTCAAAAACAATGGGAAAATAGCTAAACAAAATGAACCCATTTCAGCTACTACAAAATATTTTTAGCAGACATTTCCTGTCACATGATTCCATTTCTAGCAAACAGTAAAATTTCATTTCTATTTGAAAGACTCAATTGCTCATTAATATGCTTTCTACAGTATTCAAGGAGACCGCAGTGGCTTAATACCACTGCCACCAACAACTTTAAAAAGACAAACCCATACCTATCTTTACAATGTTATCTTGTAAGAAAACACAAGTAACACTCACTCCCCTGAACTTTGCCAAAAAAGGATTTGGAGGGTGGGAATTTTTGTTTGCTTTTAATAGAACAGTGCTCTATGCAGTAGCAGTAGAAAAGGGATTAGTGGTAAATATTTGACATTTGTTCACACCAGAAACGGAAGGAAAAAAAAGAGAAAACTGTTACTTTTTTTCCTCTGCATTCCTCCTCTCAATGACTGACTTTTCAAAACTATTAGTGTTAGTAAAAATGAGCCAGAGAAACATGACTATCAAACACATTTGTATCTGGTTAGCCCAGAAGAAGCCTCCTGGAAGAGTTAAAACCCATGAATATTACGCATTTTAATCTGGAAGTTGAAAACCAATGTGAACTTTATTCTAAACTTAAAAGAAAACAAAACTCTGGCACTTCTACGTGCCTGAGCAGATTGTATTATAAAATGACCCAAACACTAAAAAAATAAACAAGATCGGCTAGAAAATGAAACCACTTACCTTGATCAGTGGACATGACTTCACATATACTGATAATGAGTCTACTCTGGCTTAATAAAAAAATATTTTGCTGTACTCTTTTAAAGTTCATGTGATCAAATCTCACTCCTGGCTTTATAGCCTCAGGGAGACTGGAGACCACGCAGGATCTGCCAGGAGCTCAGACCAGTGCACTGTGACTTCAGTGCATTCTTAGAACTTGCTGTCCAAGGACAACCTCATGCATAATATGCCACACCTCCCCAGAGGATGGCGGCTGCACTGCAATGCACTGCACTGCGTGAGCCCAAGTCGAGGAGTGTGGAGAAACTTCTACTTATCACAGTAAACAACCACAGAGGCCCATGGAACCTTCAGATGCACTTGAGATACAGTTGGGAATAGGATGGTTTATACACAGACTAATGCCTTTGCTATTTGTAATGCTCTAAAAAAGCTAACAGGAAAATAGTCTGTTTCCATTTTAACAGGGTTCCTGCCCTGGACCAAAGATGTTATAGGTTCAGGAGTCACAAGCTTAAGATGTTAAAATCTCATTCCGAATAACCTCAAATGCCATTTTGCCACATATGACTTTCCTTTTTAGCACAGCTCATTGATTTTGGTGAGTAAAGAGTGCAGGATACATATTACACATACATTTCCTGAGGAAAACAAGTTTTAAGTTTTATATGTCATTTCAGAATGTTCTTTAACTGTTAAAAATATTTATTATTCATTTTTATGTATTCTTATCATTTTACATTATTTAACCAGTATTTTGAAAGCTTCTCATAGCCTTGAAAAATCAGAAAACACCAGATAGGTTAAAATCACATGGTAGCGCGCGCCTGTAGTTCAGCTACTTGGAAGGCTGAGGTGACCAGATGTGGCCACTGCACTCCAGTCTGGGCGACAGAGTGAGACTCCAACTCAAAAAAAAAAAAAAAAAAATCACAAAAAGTAACAGGCTGTAGACATTCTCCCCCGCTATGGAAAATAATCGCTCCAACCTCCTCCTTGGGGTGTCCAGATACTGGGGTTCCCTCACTCTGGTATACACAGGAATCATCTAATGGCTTGCTAAGACACACATTGCTTGGTCCCATACCCAAAGTTGGATCCAACTGGTATGCAGTATGACCACAGAATCTCTATTTCTAACAAGTTTTCGGGTGACACTGACACTACTGGCCTAGACCTTCTCTCCAGGAATCACGCTTTGAGAATCACTGGGAAAGAGAATTGCTAGGCTGGAGCTTTGACTTGCTCAAGGAGGTTTTCAAAGTGCTTGAATTGCACACCTGTTAGGAACCGACAGATGTCCCGGCACAGCACAGGGCTCAGGATGGGGTAGGAGAGCGTCTGCTCTCTCACTTCAACATATGGGAAACTGAAAAACTCACACCTCCCATTAGGAAATGTGGGTTATCAATCATCTACATACAAATTATAATTTTTTAATTTTTTGAGTTGGAGTCTCACTTCGTTGCCCAGCCTAGAGTGCAGTGGCACGCTCACAGCCACCACATCCTCAGCCTGCTGGGCCCAGGTGATCCTTCTACCTCAGCCTTCCAAGCAGCTGGAACGACAGGCATGTGCCACCACACCCAGCTAATTTTTTGATTTATTCTGGAGAAGAGGTCTCACCAAGTTGCCGAGGCCGGTCTCGAACCCGTGGGTTCAGGCAATCCTCTCACCTCGGCCTCCCAGAGTGCTGGGATGATAGGTGTGAGCCACTGTGCCTGGCCACAAATTATTATTATTTTTTTTTTTGAGTTGGAGTCTCACTCTGTTGCCCAGACTGGAATGCAGTGGCACGCTCTCAGCCACTGCAGCCTCGACCTGCTGGGCTCCGGCGATCCTTCCGCCTCAGCCTTCCAAGTAGCTGGAACTGCAGGCGCTCGCTACCATGCCCGGCTAATTTTTTTGATTTATTGTAGAGATGAGGTCTCGCCAAGTTACCTAGGCGGGTCTCGAACCCGCAGGCTCAGGCAATCCACTCACCTCGGCCTCCCAAAGTGTGGGATTACAGGCTGAGCCACCGAGATTGGCTCAAATTATAATTTTTAATAAAAAGTTTGTATATAAGGCATGAATAAGCTTTACAGCTCATCAAAAGTAGAATGGAGAATTAGAACATGGAGAAAAGATGTTAAAAGAGAAGAAGCCTACAATGTTGTTTATTTCATTCGCAAATTCCACCCATATGTGTTTAAATTTCACCATGGCAGGGAAACTGTTTAGAACTGATTCCAAGATCACTTTGCCTTGGCAAATTTCAGTAATGTAAAAAGCAGAATGTTTCCCCATGACAAAAATGCCCAGCATCTATCTGCACTTCCCAAGCTTTGATAGCAATGTTTATATTATAATCTCAGGTTTGACTTTTAAAACAAATATCTCTTCTTTTTTTGGCAGCTAACATCTACTTTGTGCCAGGTGCTATGTTAAACACTTTCCATGTAGAATTTCACTAAATTCTCAACCGCAAGGTAATCATTTATCACCATTTTACTGAAGAAAACCACTCTGTAAGGCAATAACATTTATCACTATTTTACAGAAGAAAAAACTAAGATTAAGAGGTTGAAGATCATGGCCAGTCACACTAGTAAAATGACAACCACTAGTACATTAAATTCACTTTTTTTGTTTTTTAAATAAATAGAGACAGGGTCTTGCTATGCTGCCCAGGCTGATCTCAAACTCCTGGGCTCAAGCGTTTCTCCTGTATTTGCCTCTCAAAGAGCTGGGATTACAGGTGTGAGTCATCACAATGGCCTAAATTCACTTTTTTTTTTTTTTTTTGAGTTGCAATCTCACTCTATCGCCCAGACTGGAGTGCAGTGGCTGCTCCCGGCCACCGCAGCCTCGACCTGCTGGGCTCCGGCGATCCTTCCGCCTCAGCCCTCCAAGTAGCTGGAACTACAGGCACGTGCTACCACGCCCGGCTAATTTTTTGATTTATTGCAGAGATGAGGTCTCGCCAAGTTGCCCAGGAGGGTCTCAAACCTGTAGGGTCAGGCAATCGACTCAACTCAGCCTCCCAAAGGCGCAGGATTACAGGCTGAGCCACCAAGCCCGGCTCTAAATTCACTTTTATACAGCAAATAAAGATATGACACACCAGTGGCCCCTTACCTGTGATTTCAGCTACTTGTGATCAATCTCAACCTGAGGCCAGGTGAGGTGGCTCAGGCGAGACCTCATAGCTCAATAAATCAAAAATTAGCCGGGTATGGCAGTGCGCACCTATAGTTCCAGCTACTTGGAAGACTGAGACAGAGGATTGCCGGAACCCAGCAGGTCAACGCTGGGTGGCCGTGAGTGTGCCACTGTTCTCCAGCCTGGGCGACTGAGTGGGACTCCAACTTGAAAAAAAAAAAAAAATCTCATCTCTGAAGATCCAGCCGTTTTACCTTCCTCCTAGTACAGATGTTATTTTTATGCAGATTCTACTGAATACAAAACTTACCAAGCTCTGCCAAACATTCTCATGGTATTTTATAATGATTTTTTCATTATATTAAATTTAATTTTTCTTTATAGTAAAGTCTTCCTCTATTACTTTCAATAGTATACCATTTTCACTGGAAATGATCCAAAATCAAGATTTTTGTAGGCAACCTGTGCTTTCTATATTAAAACCTATAAATCCACAATGTTGAAAAGTAAATGGAAGACTAAGCTGCTTGTCTTAGCCTTTTTATTTAAAGCTAAGTGGCACATCATCTGTCATAAGTGAAAACTTCCATGTATTAATGGCAATGTTGATTTTAATTATCATTTACTAATAAGCATACATTTGTAATAAAATAACAAGAAAATTATATTATACCTAGTGAATGTTAGTATTTAACTGTTCAACTGGAACATGGAGTAGGAAAAAAACCATGGAAATAGTTACTATTCTTAGTTACCAGCTGAAGAGTAAAGTCCTCATATTGTCCTTCAAAGTCATTTAACTGGGGGCAATATCTCATTTTCATAGACTGAAACTAATCTGAGTCATAACTCATTTTGTACTTGTCGATATTCTAATAACACTCTAAAAACAAACAATTCTGTACTAAAACAACTCCCCCAATGGCTTAAAAACATACTTAAAAAAACAATACCCAACTGAAGCCTAATTTTCATTTTACATGTCTGTTAAGCTTAATGAAACAAGGTCTAGAAATTCTTGAATGTATGCCAAGTAAAACCTCTTGCTTGATATTTTTGTACCTAACTGTTCTTGTACAGATCATCAAAGCGAACCTATTATCCTTGAATTTTTTAAATTAAAAAAACTTAACAAAAATGTTTTCTATTACCTCTTCAGTTATATGTTCAGTTAAAGTCACAAACACAGTAAGTACATTGGTCCTCAGTATTCAAAGTCGCCACATTCACAGGTACAACCAACTGCGCTTTGAAAATATTCAAAAAATAAAAAGCAAATAACAATTAAAAAAAAAACTTTAAAAAATACAGCACAACAGCTATTTACCTTGTACCGTATTGGGTATGATACATAATCTACAGATGCTTTAAAGCATAAGGGAGGATACGCTTCAGGTATATGCAAATACTAGGCCATCTTACATCAGGGCCTTGAACATGCACAGGTTTTGATATGGGGGGTCCTGGAACCAACCTCCCCACAGATACTGAGGGACAACTACATATTGCTCAGAAGAATATTTTGTTGTTGTTTTTGGAGTTGGAGTCTCTCTCACTCCTTCGCCCAGGATGGAGTGCTAGTGGCACACTCATGGTCACCCCAGCGTTGACCTGCTGGGCTCTGGTGATCCTTCCGCCTCAGCCTCCCAAGTAGCTGGAACTACAGGCGCACACTACCATGCCCAGCTTGCCTGCCTGCAAAATTAATTAATTATTATTATTGTTATTATTATTATTTTTTTTTTAGAGACAAGATCTCGCCAGGTTACCCGGGCTGGTCTCAAACCCACAAGCTCAGGCAATCCACTCACCTTGTCCTCCCTAAATGCTGGGATTACAGGCTGAGCTACCGAGCCTGGCCCATAAGAAACTTTTTATCTGTAATATTAACTGACTTTATTTATTTATTTATTTATTTAGTTAGTTAGTTAGTTAGTTAGTTAGTTAGAGTCTCACTCTGTTGCCCAGACTGAAGTGCAGTGGCCGCTCCCGGCCACCGCAGCCTCGACCCGCTGGGCTCCGGTGATCCTTCCGCCTCAGCCTTCCGAGTAGCCGGAATTA